TAGTTACGGACAAAAACGTTGCGTATACACCCCACCATATGGTCTCCAATGCCTGTCCAGCGAGTCAGTATCTTTCTCTCCGCTTGTATCTGTTTGCTGGTAGGCTTGTTCACACACTGCTGACCCTGGGGATTTCGATCATGGATGCACGGAAAACTGGTATAATTTTTCCCACCTAGAGGCTCGGAGATACCTCCGATACCAATAGCAAACGTCAAACACCCCGCCGATTCGAAACATTTTAAAGCTGTTACCACCGCAACACTACTAACGCTCCTTCCATGAAAAGGCTTGTCGTGTGTGCCAATATCGATTACGTCCTCATAGTTCTGAGGGACCTACTAGCCTGTCTGGCAGACCCCGTCAGCTGGGCTTGGTTACCAGGGCGAAACTTCTTTAGTCACGATCGCAATCGCAGTACTTTGACCGTTTGAAACTATCCCCGTCTAGATGCGGACAGTTCTCGTATTGTGCTTGAAATGTTCCCTCGTTCCCTTTCGTTTAGTCGATTACACCTCCAGTGTTTTTTCCTACCCCACAACGCAGCGACGGCGATCGTGACGGTAATCTCCATACCGTATCACCAGTATCCGTTGCTAGGCTCTTCTCTGTTTGGGGTTTAACCAACTGTTTGCTTTAACTTTTTCTCCTTCTATGGTCCTAATACCTCGGCAATTAAATTTCGACCCGTTTCCCTTGTATTCCATAAAATCTTTTTTTGCCTTTCTGTGTATATTGATACTAGTCATCCGCACTGCGCGCCAGACTGACCTAGTCATCATCAGACGATCCAATATGTCCGTCCTGTTTCTGGTCCTATACAAAGCTCCAATTCAATTGAATACTAATTACATGTCGGCCGCTGTACCCGTTTCTTCAGGATTGCAAAACCGTGAACATTTTCGTTTTTTCTCGTATTTACAATCCGTTTAAAATCTGTCCTTCGTTAGCATGACCGACAAACTGGTTCTTATCTAAATGTTCTTCAAACACCGTTTGCAGTATGTCATTGATCCCTTTGACGCCATCACATTTTGTAGTAAAAAGAAGTGGTGAAACGGTTTATGATGCCCAGATTGTGACAAAACAAAAATTTAAAAACAGTGCTGTCTTACGGATTGCTTCAAATAATTGGACTGGAGAGATTGATGTACTCAAACCAGGCACAAATCTAGGTCATATCAAAGGTCAAGGATAGCTACATGTGATAAAAGTGGACGAATATACGGAGTTGAGGCTATCGCTGTGAAGGGAGTATGCTCAACAACACAGTTAAGGACAGAAAACTTGTTAGTTCGAAATACTACACGGGACGAGCCAACTTTGAATAAATTGATTCCCTAACTTAGGCGGTGATGTGAATCTCTTACTATGCAACGGAAACCACGATCCAACGATAGACGATACGTGATCTGAGAGTCACGTGTGGTACTCCCTGCAGATACCGATCTGACACAAACAGATGAAGCGCGCATCGACCCGTAATTGACAACCCGTGAATACATGCAAAAAAAGACAGCACTAAACAAAAAGAGTAACACAACAACGTTATGTTTAATCCACCCAGAGCACGTGACCGGTTAACGGCACCGTGATCGATCCCTTAAACTCAGTCCGAAGGAACTCATAATCCGTTATCCTGAAAAACGATCAATTCAAACTGGCTCAAGCCACCGTTCTATATCAAATTAGTCAGGTATCTGCGACGGGCGGATATTTTGTCTAAAAATCAAGAGATTTTCTCGTCACAAACAGTAACAAAATTCGGCATCCAAAGCAAAACAACAGGTTTCAATTTATCATACTCAACTATACCGGTACGGACGCAATCGTATGGAATAACTTTCGCAGCGAAATAATAGCGGCCAAACTTATGGATAACAATATCCTTGTTCCATTAACTCATTTTAAAATGATTGTTTACGGGAATACAAAAGTAACCAGCCAATAAGTTTCAAAAGATGTATCCCTTTGATAAAACCTGGTTTGATAGACAGTAGAGGAGGCGAATTACATAATTAATACGAGCGTATTGATTTCCTTTTATCACATATCCAGGGAAGCCGCGACCCATGAATGGCAGCCTGGAGATAAATAAAAACGCCTTAGATGGTCAAGGTCTACACCTCAAGTATGGGCACCCATGAAATGCGTGGGTCATGAGCAGTATAAGATGTAAATTGTACATCTATCGGCTATGCGGATGGAAGCAATAGACTAAACTTGTTACCTTTTTGCACAATTGTTTACATACTGTTGTTTCACTTTCATAGTTCGACATTCGGTGCTTTGTCACTAGAAAATATGTTCAAATACTGAGCTAAGACTTGTACACAGAAATTCATCTTACATTAGTTCATTTATGTGAATAAGTTAGAACAAGGAGAATGAAATGGACCGGGAGGTTTCCAAGGGATAGGAAAGAAGTTTGACGAATGACGGGAAAAACAGTAATCGACACTTATGACAAATGGCCTTCAGAACTTAGGATGGATCGAATGAGAGAGTCAATGGACCATGTTGCAAATGTGTGTATGAGTACGACTGGTAGTTAGCGAAGGGTAGGGATCAGCGACAACAAAAAGGACAAAGGTTTTGGAGAGGGATAAGCACGGGAAATGAGTCTTCTCCAGTTGACGGTGGCGACGACCTTGAAACCAGCAGAACCCGTTCGGTCTGAAATCGTAGGGTAAATCAATACAGTTATTCTTTATCAATAATGAGCAAAAAAGTTGTGCAAACCGTAATAAACTAAAAAACAGCGTTTTGCAGTGACATTATTTCTTTCATTACACACATTTTGTAATGAACAGCAGACGGGGTGGCGAAGATCTGCTAATTAGCGACAAAAATCGGAAACTTAAGCCCCGGGACTTAGAGTGACGAACCAAATAAAACCCCGCTGGGTTGGGAGTAGTATTGAACTGGACGACAGCAAAGCTGCCTACCGCCACAGTTGATTGGCGGGGCTCGAATCTCGGACCATAGGGTCTAAAGCACACCGGTAACAGCGACTAAACCACTGCACAATCAACACCATCTATGAACGGGTGATGGGATGATCTTTACGAAAGTCATCATACGCGTCAACAAACGACCACTGCNAATAAAAGCCATCAACATGGGACGGTACACCAAAAGATTTCTCCTTAACCTGGTTCAGTCATGTCGCAGCCAATATCGCCCACTGGAACAACTGGCCGACCTCCATAGATAACGTTGGTTGGGACATCTGTCACGCATGTCACCAAATAGATTGCCACGGCGAGCGATGTTTGCCGAGGCAGGTAATGGGTTGAAAACAACCAAGGATGGTCCAGGTAAGACCTAGCATGAGGGTGTGAAAACCCCAACCAGGAGTTTGTCACATAGGTCCCGTTAGGCTTCCAGGCTGGGGGCCTCGGGATGGTCGTAACCGATGGTTAGAGACACTGGGTGGTATGGCTGGGTTCGCGCATCTTCTCAATTTCTCTGCATCATTAGTCCACTGGATTTATCAATTTTCTCTTCGATCCTACTTTCAATTATCTTGTTTTTTACCTATTGTTCCAGATGGGCAGCCAAAAGCGTCGCACCAAAATGCATGCTTAACGGTTGTTTAAACAGAAACTAAATAATATACAGTCTTTCGAACTGAATAGCAAACCTCACCGTTTTGGTTTACACGTTGCTTATTTTGTTTCTCGTGTAGCCGTCAGGCTGATCTCTCATTTCAAGCAAACGAGATTTTTCTAACCCAAACTTCTGTTTCTGTACATAACCCAAATACGCTTCCCCTGAATCGTTGTCATGTATTGGCTATTTCTCCATCCTCTTTCCCGTTCTACATCGACCGGGTTTGGTCTATTAGTCACTCTAAAATATATCCCACTTGCAATCACTAGGCTAGCATCGAGAAACAACTCCATTCTTCTACGATTTCTACTTTGGTTTAGGCTCCACTTTTTCCACCATTATCACATTTTCTGGTAAAACAAAGACCCCCATCATCCCATATTTGGCTCCAGGTGCCCTACGATTGGAGCTTGATTAATCTTTTCGTGTAACAACTAATCTGCAGATCACCCTTCGTTTTTCTGCCCTTCTGCCTACCTACGACCACGAAGTCTCAAAGTGAAAAATCAAGAAATCGAGAATAAACCCTCGTTTGACACAACTTTTGATCATAGGGTAAACATTTTTAATTTTACAAATAAACCGAGACACGATGCGTGAAAAAATGATCACATCTTACCTGGACGGTATTTGTTGTTACGACTTGACAAGAGTGCGGAGATATGACTTTCGGAAAGCAGGAATGGTCATGTAAGAGACCAAGATCAGCCGTGACAACGTCAATTCTAGTATGATAAGAACAGTCATGACACTGTTATGAGGGCAGTAATATGTGGAGTTGATGAAAGTTTAGAAACGATAACTTCGATAGAGAACGAGAGAAAAAATGAGTAGGGGAATTTCCGGGAAATGTCTTCAAACCCGTATATAATCATTTGTTCTCAATCGTTATCCAATTCGGATACCTTGAGAACAGATTACCGGGATGAAATTGCGACTTCGGGGACACTGAAAGCAATGCTGATCCGTTTAACGTAGGGTCACACAACGCTCGAACTGGCTCAATCGGTCGAGCTGTTGCAAACGGGTTGGTTGTGAATTTAATCTTCACACAGCTATCACACAGTGCTGTTCTCGCTGTTGCGGTATTGATGATTCTGACAGCATGAATGTTGCTGCTGTTTTATTGGAAGCGCGGTCTCGTTGATGATGGTAGCTAGAACCAACCTCGAAGATATCGAGCGAACAACAGGCGCGTGCGCTTGTGGAGATAAGGTGAATCATCCAGCTAAAACGCCGCTTGCGAGCGGTCACTTGAACACGCATCGAGCTGAAACCACGCGCAGGCGTATTGGCAGCACATCTTCGCTGATGTGACTGAGAATTCGCAACAAATTGCGAGCACGACAAAAGATGAGGGGCACCCTCGGTTAGCTTTGACTGTATCACACCCAAGCAGTCCAACCCTCATACATTAATGCGAGGTTGTCAATATCAGTTGCTGCGCGAATACAGGCGTCCACTTGTTGATGCACCGACATGTTACGACCGTCCATATCACGATCGTCGTTACTGGTGTTATTTTTATCAACTGTGTTTGAGGTATTGGCCGAAGTTTGAAAAGGTTCCAGCAGAGGATCGTGACCAATTAATCGGTCGCGGGTGCGACACCAAACTTCAAACGCTTGTGCATTGATTGCATCCTGAGTCGTATCACAAAACTGAAAAGAAAGAACGCATTAAGTCGTGAAGCGCAGTATAAACAGATAAACTAGGAGAAAATACCGAAAGAAATTCGAACTAGCCGACACTAATGCGGACGCCAAGTAATCTATCTGGGAGATAAGCGTCGCTTCCGTTACTCAACAAATTGCATGGCTATGTTTTAATAAATCTGAGCGGAGAATGATGATTCAAATGGACACGACATAAGAAACTTTAGTATCATTAGGACCGGCTTGTTCTCTTTGTAATTTGAATTCTTTACACTTCAGACCGTGACAGACTATCAGATGAAATCAATGCCAAGAAAATGCGCCCCTACCTTGAGGAGTAAAAGATGCACAGATGAGATCAAATAAAGTCGAACTAAGAGTCTTATTCTGGCTTTCCTTAATCAAAAAACCGAATTAACTTTACAATGATTAAGTCACCCCAATAGTGCACGCAAAATGAAGAACTTCCTATGAGCATAAAGAGGTACTTACATCTTCCCGGTTAGAAGATATCTGATCGACGGTACGCACGATAGTTTGGTTTACTAGTTCGACCGAAGAAGCAAGCAAATTTTGTTCCGAATCGACTGTAAACAAGCTCTGAATTTGTGATTTGATTGGGGCAAGCAGCTGGAGTACAAGATGAGATAACGACTCGTCCGGTTCTACCACGCGTTGCAAAGCCTCGAAAAGCGGTTCCAATAGGGCAGACCACAGATTTGCATGGATCGAAGAACAGTCAAGAAGTAGACGCTCTGCAATTTCAGCTTCATCACTCAGATTGTTGAAAGCATTCGATTCGTCTACACAATATGACTCTTGATTGGTACCGACACTCTGACTGTCTAAACGACAGTTTGCACTAAGTTTGGTCAAAAACTTGCTTAGCTGTCTCAGTGTAGATAGCACGAGATTAGTCCACGATTGATGCTTGTCCAGCCAACCAGCCCAAATATGTACATTTCCCGAATCACCATCTACAGCAAGCTGCGTTCGAGCGGATTCGCAACGGTTAAGCAATTTGACCAACTGACGAAGTTCTGATAATCGCTGCGACTGGAGGGTTGTGAGTGCCGAACGCAGTTTGCTGGTTAGAGGGGATGCTCGTGTCGGCGCTGCCATTGAGGAATCATTCGGGCTCGAAGATAAAACTAGTCCAGGTGACGTTGACAAATTGGAACGAGAATGTTTGCAGTTGGGACGTTTGTTACCGTGTCGATTCATTACGATGGATGTTTGCTCATTTGGATTTGTCGGATGAGAATCACTATCGCCTTTCAGACCCAAGGGAGCCAAAAGTTCTGACCTGATACGCATGATTTGCATTTGAGCTTGATTGAATTGTGACTTTGCAGAACGGACATCGGCTTGCAGCTGTGCTCGTAATGTGCGATTGTTTTTAGCTGTTCCATCTGCACAACTCGGACAACGTTGATCGAGCCAACCGGCTGCCGGCCATTTTAGACTGTACTTGCGCTAAAAATTGAAGGGTACGTTTTAGTACTGAATTTTATCGTCGATGATGCTAATTGAAGGTGTGATGATAACCGTAGTTAAAGTGACTCGTAATCTAGCAAAGCAGAAATAGAAATGTCTGTTGTCTAATTATTTCCTCCCCCAAATGATTAAAAGCTTTTTGTACTTTTGATGATCGTCAATGCAATACCGTTAGTCGTTTTGGCTATCCACGAAAGATCCGAAAAGCCCTAAATAACATCGGCTTTAAAGGGTTATCTGGATAAGAATATCTTATTTGCTTGTATGAGTTACTTGGGGAGCTATAACACGTAACACAAGAATGACTTGCAAAGGTCTCCGGAAGCATACGATCGTGGTTGCTACTGTCAATCCGATTGTTTGTTGTTTATTCATTTTCATTCTTGTTCCCGAGATGCATTTCGCAACACAACCTCATTTGAACCCACAGGAAATTAATTTCTGTGCAACAAACTCAACTTAAGATTATAACGTAAACCAATAGCCCAGGGGACGGCTGATGTTGAAATCGACAATAAATGAATGAAGTGAGGTATAATTTAGAAAAATGGGGGTGAGAGGAATTTCAGGGTAATCGGACTCATTGATTCCAAAAAGTGACAAATAATTACCTCTGATTCGCTGAACGACGGCAGCCGAAACGGACTGTTGATTATATAATTAAAAGAGCCTTTCGTGTTAGTCTTCACTGTAGTGAATAGTTGAAGGAATGAGCTCCATAGTGGTAGCGATACAGTGTTTCACCATGGGAAACAGCGACTACATAAGGCTCGATGGGATAGATTTGGCCATGCTTGGGGGAGCAATACTGTTATCTACGATCAAAGCTTGGTGAAGCACAAATTAGAAGTTTGAGATCCCAGAGTAGACCACTGGAAACGGGTAAGCCTCTTACACACCACCACTTGAGACTGTGTATGCGATAAAACGAAAAACTACTAAGACTGGCCAAAATCGTTTGGCGTCAAAAAATCACAAGGCAGCGTCGTCGGCCTAGGTTCTTTTTGAGTAACTGAAGGTAAAGTACCATTTGGAATTCAAAAATAATCGAGTACATGCGTATAGACCGTAAATGAACGTGCACACAAAATTAGAAGTGATCGGTAGAGCAAAAAATGGAGAACGCACTTTCAGTATAAGCAGCGTTTTATCCAACTCGNAACTCGGTTAACTGAACTGCATATGCCTCTTCTTCTTGGAGAGCCTGTTTCAGGTCGGTTAAAAGGCGCAGGGATTGAGTGTAACCGGAATAAGATTCGATGCCACTGAAATAAAAAAAAATTATACACAATCACTAAGAGTTTAAGACAAAAAATTTCTACGGACTGTCATTTTTTATGCAAGCAAAGTTGATAGCTGAAATTCATAATCAGTCGATTCAGGCAGAAAACGCTCGACTGATGGCTCACCTGATGTACCGGAACTAAGGCTATTTCATTATATCACAAACGAATATTAATCTTGAAATCTACGCATTCTATTTAACCGCATATAAGAAAAACTAAAAAGCTAAGTTTTAGCCTAATGAAATGACGGTACTAAACTACGCAAGAACATGAGCATTTATTAGTGATTTTAGACGAGGGTGAGCAGAGATTAGACTTCAAATTACCACTGATGATGGCACCACTCAGAGGTGATAGGCTACCTGAGATTTACGAAGCGATTTTCTCCACCCTGGGGCAGCTACTACAAACAAGTGCAGTACGGTAAACGACTGCTAGGCATGCGCCATGTACTTGCTGTTCTAAACACAATTTCTTTCTTTCTAGTGAGTAAAAAGCTAGTTGGTACTAAGGTGCCACTAGACAATAGATTCGGAGATTTTTCAAGTATTCGCTTATGAAGCCGAACTATGTTCATGATTGAAATCAAAAGTTGTGACATTCGGTAATTCAAAGTGCATGATTATTAGAGGTGTGAATAACTACCCCAATCCAAAGGCTAAACGAACGCCTACAATCCACATAACACAACGGAAAACAAAAACTCACGAAATGCGCATTTCCTCTGCGAAACAAATTGCCCTGGCAACGTCACAAAGAGTGGGATTATCGACATCTGCGATCCCCGAAGCGTTATCCTCAATGCTGGCAATCGTCTGCTTCAGATTACATAAGACACTGTCCACATTCGGAGTGAGTAATTGGCACGACTTGATGCTTTCGGACACATTCGATTCTTCGTTCACCAACTGCTCGAAGTCATTAAACATCTGGGGTTTGTCTGAGGTAGGTGAAATCCACCTTAACACAGCCAAACTCTGCTGCAAGCGATCGTGGTGTTTTCGAGCAAGTTCCAACTTGATGGCGGAAAATAGGTAATCGTTGGCCTGGTTTGCGTGAATTGCCAGACGGTGTATCAAATTAGAAGCGGGGCCACGTAAATGATGCACAGTCACTGGTTGTACTGCTGCCAAGTGCAAACCTACGGTTTCAGCCAATTTTTCGGCAGAGAGTTGCAGTACAGCATTGTGAACACCAGCCACTTTTGCATTATGTTCGCTTTCCATCACCAGTCGGCGTATCTGGATCCCGGTGTCTTCAACCAAGGAACAGAACAAACGACCAAAAGAAAACGCTAGTAGACTTGCCAAGCCGGTGCGTGAAACTAGGCGTGAAACAAAACGATCAATTGCTTCTGAGCACGGGTTCAGAACAAGGTCTTGTGTGGGTGCAGCACTAGTACCCCGAATTGCATTCCAATGAGCACGCCCTTCTTCCAAAATGGAGACGAAAGCCATCAGACCCATAGCGTAAACTTCATCTACCCATGAACAACGGAAACTGGGCTCAATATCAGCCCCGCCTGTTTGCTCCCAACCCCACAAAGTGGTCGCTCCATTGCGCCAACTGTGACAACGTGAAAGCAGATTAGACACGGACTGGGAAATGACGTCCACATAGAACCAGGCAGGTGCTGTTACAGTGAGTTCGCGAATTCGCATTGCAATTTCTTCCATTTGAGTGGTTGTGTTCGTGAGTGCGAGATGAACTGCAAGCAATACCTGATGCAAACGCACATCTCGAGAAGTTATTGTCGTTCGACATTCACGAAGGAAGTGGTTAACGCGATCTCTGAGACCCACGGGATCTGATTCTGTAACATAGCGAGCCATTAGTTCAGTGAACTGTTCGACGAGATCATTGGATTCATCATCGTTGGAAGATGGAGACGCCGCATCTATGAGGGCGGACTCAGTTTCGGGTAGAATTAGAAGACGTATTAGATTGGTACGCAATTGGGATATACATAAAGTTGCATCTCGAACAGCGTACATAAAGGCCATCTCGCGTTGTGCGTCTGCTTCAAAGCCGGCTGAAAATTGCAATGTGCCAGTAGGTTGATGATAAAAGACACTGAACAGAACTGTGAGATACTCGGCTGATAGTGATAGCTGGTTCAAAGGATTCGTTTCGGACACACCTTGAGTTAAATCTTCATTGAACCGCTCACCGGCCTCTGCGTCGAAATCTGATTCCAGGCTTAATATATTACCTATCACTCCTGGAAGATAATCGATCAGCGCCCAAACATATGCGCTGACACCGAAGACTCCCTGATCGTAGACGAAGAGATGAAGGTTATCCGATTCCGGCCGAATTGCGCCACTAAGTGTCCCACCTTCGGGCGCATTGCTAACCTGTAAGCTATCCTGCAATTCACTTAATACACATCGACTGCGATGAATGGCATGTTCTAGTAGTTCCACGAGTTGGCCGTTTGGATTGCGAGATATTTTGTGGTAGTTCAACTGAGTAAATCGATTTAAACATGTCTCCAATTGCTCAGATCCATCAACAAACTGCTCCAAGACATTATGGAGTGCATGCAATTCTTGAGTCCAACCAAGGTTATCATCTGCGAATAAACCGGGATGTGTCAAATAGATGCGAGCCAGTAGAAAGTACTGAGTTAATACCGAATTAAGTTCCAGGTTCGTAGACGCCTGCATAGCCATCAAGGAAGGGAGCCATGTAGGATCCGAAAGCCGCGAGAAAATGCGACAAAGTGGTAGGGCTTCATTATTCCATATCACTAGGCGCTCGCGCAACGAAGTGCGTAATTGCATCACACGGGCAGAGCCCTCTTCTGAGTTCTTGCAACGAGTTTCGGCTGCATCGAGATTGGAAGGAGCACAACCGATGAGAATTTGCTGGCATTGTTCGGCCTCCGAGAGATCACGAGCGGTCTGACACCAAGAGACCCAAAACTGGAAACAAGACCGGGCAGCTGACAAAGCAGAGCAGACGTCCACAAGAGATGTTGAGTGATACAAATCGTACAACCGAGTGGCGAGTAGACCCGCACAGGTACGAGCCTCTGCAGAAACCCTACTTTGCTTGCGCATGCACGAAGCCCAGAAGTGATATCGAGTGGCTGAACTTCCACCACCGTAGTAAGCACTCAGATGCGTGAAATCTGTGACCATCACACTTGACGTAGAATTCGACTGTTTTCTGTCCTGCCAGTCTACGAGAGGGTCGATCAGGAAGGCCTTCAGTTGAATCAGAAACGGATCGATTACCGAGCGAGCCACAGTAAGCGTCTGCTCCGCGGCAACACGGAATGTACCGCGTACGAGTCGACCTTGAGCCAGAGGACCGAGAGTATGTCGCAGAATTCGAGTTAGTCGGAATGGAACGCGCTCAGCTACCCGTAAATTTCGACCTTTATCAAAACATACATTATAGTCTATGTGTATAAGGTGACCAGTCGTCAAGTCAGTCAACAAGTTATCTAGATGCCGATCGCCAAGACCAACTATGTAACCAAGTACGCTCATCAAACCAATCGAACGACAAAATGTGCGGCTGGTTGACCACCAGGATGCTGCAGAAGGGTTTGCAGCCCACAATTCTCGAGCGAGTAGATCACTAGGTGTTTCTGATTCCAACGACAAAAATACGTGCCGCAAAGTCTCGATTGGCCACGAGTTGCGCGCCTGTGGTTGATATGGTAATCCTGCGGCCAAAAGCGATTCTTTAAGTCGAGCATGAAACAATTCACCTGGACGCGGAACAGCGACAGCACGCGAAGAATCTGGATCATCAGTAGCATCAAGGGGCTTAGATGAACGAATTTGCCATCGTTTATATAAGCTGAATAGCGGCACGGCACCATGAACCATTTGTAATAAACCAGCTCTCACACCCAATGGGGTAATGGCGTAAGTACGAGCACACATTTGATTGAGCTGGATTAGGTCCACATCCCTCTGTTGGGCCAAAGCAACGTTAATCAGTTCAAACAGTCGCATGATTCGATCATCCAGGCGCAAATCTTCCAAACCCTTGAGCAAATATGGATAGGTATGTCCATTACGTGCGCGGAACAACAGACGTTTGGGCTTTGTTTTCGTTGGTAAGATGGTTACCCGATTGATTAAGTGTGCTGACTCCAACTCGGGTCGGCCGGGGAGAGGAATACCGGGAAAACTAGGTTCCGTTGAGTCAGATTGGTCGCCAAAATGCATTTGGGTCAGGCGTGGACTGAGATGAGAAAGGCTGAGATGGAACACACTGCTTGTGGACGGTCTGACCGTA